AGCGGATGCCACCACACCACCCCACTTACACCCACAGCCCTCGGTGTCTAAGTGCACTTTAAAATTGGAAGTGGGCACTGGCACTCGGGAGGAGGCTGAGAAATCCCCCTGCCAAGTGCCGTTGAATGTGCTCACTCCCAAGGCCCTAAGTGTGTGTTTGCGTGGATTGTTGTCGGTGGAATTGTATAAGGTGTAATTAAAATTGGGGGGCAGGTTGTCACAGGAATGCAGAAATGGGGTCCACACCCGCACTCCTTGACTTGTCCACCCCCCAAGGTCCTATGTGCATGTTTGTGTGATGATGTGAGGGAGCAGGAGAAGAGAAATATGCGGAAATGGGAGGAATGGCTGGTTGGGCAATCTGAAGTGTATGACCAAAGCCATGCACTAGCAGCTGGGTGTGATTGTTTCACAATAAAATCTTTCATCTGTATACTTCTGAAGTGGCATTGTAATATTTTTGGCATGTAGAATTTCAAGGAAAAAAAACCTGGTGGGATATTCAACCATCCTTTACAATTTATGAATTTGAGCTGTTTTTCTATGAATGATACAAAAAATGTCATTGCCCTTACAGATGAATCTATACTCTCCCGTTCATTGACAAAATTGTTGACAAAGCAGTTATGATCCAGCTGAACTACTTTTTGGAGACAAACACCCTCTTGGCTGATTTTCAGTCAGGCTTTAGGCCACAGCTCAGCACAGAGGCAGCACCAATTAAGGTATTAAAGCTACAATGTGTAACATTTTTACCTGTCTACTATAAAAGTATGTGTATCTTGTACACAAACTTATCCTCTTTCATTAGTATTTCTCACCAACATCTATTGTAAGTATTCTTCTCAGCTTGAAATTTAACATTTTTAATACATAAACTGGTTGACGCTCCATGGCCGTGTACCATCTTGAAATATGATAGCTCTTTAAGGACATACAAGCTCTGCACTTTGCGTTTGCACTTTCACTGTAACCTTAAACTAACAGCGGAGGGTAGCAGCACACCCTGGAAGCATACAGTCTGCCAAACCAACTAAGAAGAAAATAGATACACCGTTGCTGTACTTTGTTAGTTTGAATAACATTCAAAATAAAAAAAATGTAAAGACACGTCAAACGTGTCAGGAGCTTGTCGTGTCCTCTCTGCAGCCACGTATGATGAGCTCCCCATCCGCTATCAGCTGGACACCAGCCTTCAAGCGGTATCCCTAGCTCCCTAACTCACCTCAAGTTCCTCACTAGTCTTTTCTTCATACTGGAGCTCCTGATCCTGTCCCAATGTATCAGTTCCAACGTCCTCCTTAAAGACGCCTCAGAAAATTCCCTTTATTCAAGTCTCTTCTCCTGCTGCAGACTGCCATCTCTCTCCCATCCGCTAGCAGGTGGCCAAGCTAACATTGTTTACTTTATCACCAGCGTGTCCTCGGCTCGTGGCATCATTCATCTGTAAGCCAGGTGCTGAAAGGCCGCAAGTTTGTTTGCTCCACTGCTGCTCCCCCAGATTCACGTGACACTGGACTCCCTGGCTGACGTGAGCCCTCCTCCATGTGTGAATTGAGCGGTCTGAAAGAACTTGCTTGCTTCCATCAGGACTGGTAGGTTATTATAACTAATTGCTCCATCATAATAGTAATATGCTTTGTGTGGTTAAGGCTAGAGATTGGCAATTGTATATTTTATCAAGCTCTTGCAATTTATAAAGAACAGACTGGATGGCTGGAGTGAAAGATGGAGGTTTTTGACATTTTGCCTTTTTGATTGATTGGTCTACCGTAGCTGCAATACTTACTCTGAGCTCTATGGTGAAAAAAAGTAAATTGTTTTTACACACAAAGCACACATATTACTCACTGCAGCTTTAAATGATATTAATGCTTCTAATCATATCTGAAAAACAGAAGTTATGTTGTTCATATTGGTGATCACGATCACCATGATATGTGGGGGTCCCCCAAGGTTTTCATCTTGGAGCACTGCTCTTCAATCTCATTATACTCCCCCTTGATCAGGTCGTATAAAATAACATTATCTATCATAGTTATGCAGATGACACGCAGATCTACCTAGTTCTAACACCTAGTGACTGTAATCCCCGCCTAGACTTTCTCTGTCAGTGTTTGGAGTAAGTTTAAGACTGAATGCAATCAAACTTCCTTCAATTAAACAAAGACAAGACTGATGTTATTGGGTTTTTCTCAATAGCAAGGAACCTTGCCTTGGTGCCATGGTCTTGAAGAGATATGTCATCAGAAACCACCAAGGTGTGTTCCAATGTTCATGTATTACAAAGGCATCTGTCCTCCATTTGTCTGCCATTTAGCTAACTGACCAAAGATTCATGGGAGGTACCTTGTTGCCTTCCCTTGGTCAAACATTTCCCAGACTACAGTGCGGTACTTTCAAAAAGATGTAGAAACAGGAGCCGGCAGCAGCTACTTTGGGGGCAAATTTCCAGTCAACTTAAGTTAACTAAGTGGAGCTTTCGGGCTTATATATAAAATGTTTTTTTCTTTTAGATCAAATGCAATTGTCTATGATTGGTAAGTTGTGTTATACCTGATTCAGACCTGAGCTTCACTGGTCACATTAGGCTATGACTAGATCAGCGTTTTATCATCTTAATCAAATAACAAGACTCAGAGGTCTCGTCCAGACAGGACCTAAAGAAACTCATTCATGTATTCATCTCCAGCAGGCTGGACTATTGCAATGGTCTTTTGACTGGTCTTCCCAATAAAGCTGTGAAGCAACTGCAGCTTATTCAGAAAGCTGCTGCTAGAGTCTTAAGACTAATTTATAAATCTCCATCAGTTCCACAAGGGAGGACACGCACTGAGACAATTTGCCCTCATACTTCTCCGTCTACTGGGGAATGTTGCTAAGCAATTCCCCACCAGGACAACAGAGGGCGTAGCGCTGTTCTGTGGTATCCTGTCATGTATCCGGTCCAAGATAGTGTGTTTATAGTTTTTTTTTCTGTGTTTAAGAGACTTTTTAACACAGACAAATTAGTCGCTCATCCTCCTCCACCTCTTCATGCGCTCGTCACCTCTAAACCCAAGTATCCCGTCATTTTCGTCCACAAATAAAATGCTTGCTGTGTATCTTTTCACTCCTCCAGTCACAGGGGAATGAAACGTTCATAATTTTAGTTTTTCTGTGAGGTGTTCTTCAAGCTGCCCCTAGATATCCTCAGCTCTCTATGTTTTTGAGAGTGCAATGGCAGTGCTGTAGACCAGTGGCGGCTCCGGAAATTTTTTTTCTGCAGGTGCTATGAAGGAGCTAGTCTTTTTTTTGAGGGTGCTATGAAGGAAGTGGTCATGCATACCTATTGTTCTCTAAAACACCTTCAACACTAGCATATACACATGCGTGCACAAAACCTCAACAACACCTGAAACAATCATTATTATACATCATAAACATATGAACAATCACTGACTTTTCCATGACATCATAAACGCATACAGCCACACAGAAAACCATCTATAGTGTTGCAAGGTTAGCTAACGTTAGTGTTAGCATTTCCAGCGGCAAAACCCTCGACTGCTGCGGCGGTTGAGGGTTGACTCTCTTCATCCAGATCCGTAGGTTTTTGTGGGTCTGAGATCACTTCCAAAGATTCATTCGTTCCTGACAGAACACGTGGAAATTTGGGCAACAAAACCGATCCATTTTACCACTAGCTCTACCTTTCACTCGTTCGCAGGTGGAAAATGAGGTCAAAGGTTAACATCAATTTCCTGTTTTGGTTTAAATTTTTACTATCTATATGATAATTTACTGATTATTTTTGTTTTGTATGTTAAATATTATCACATCCACACGTTAAATTAAAATTAAATTGTAAACAAAAATCTAATATTTACTTAGGGATGCTATTGGGGTGCAATGACTAATCCAGGGGTAGCTATAGCGCCCCCCGGTGCCACCACTGCTGTAGACAACTTCGATGTCCTGACCAATCACAAGCTTGCGTTCTCCGTCTCATCGAATGGATGCTTTTAAAAGAGAGCTCAATTCCTTCCATCCTTGCGAGCCTGTTAGATAGCCCCTGAAATGACAGATAATGGCGTTGTGTGCATCTGTCCTGACGCAGAGGGAGAAGTATAAATTAGGCTTTAACAACAACCAAAACACATCACTCTTCTTAAATATCTACACTGGTTACCATTAAACTACAGAATCAATTTTAAAATGATATTTCTATTTTATAAATATTAAATGGCATGAGGAAAAAAAATATGTTGGATCTCTTTCCAGTGTATACACCCAACAGGGTTCTGAGATCCTTAGGAAGCTGGTAGAACCCTGGGTCAGAACCAAACAGGGTGAAGCTGCTTTTAGCCACTATGCTGCACACAGATGGATTCAGCTTCCTCATGGCCTCAAATCTGCTGCAACTTTATAAACTTTGAAATCAAAATTGAAAATTTTCATGTATTTATCAGCCTTGGAATGAATGTTTTTTTATGATGCACCTTCTGCACTGGAACTGCTCAGCATTTAACTTTGCCCTTTAGTTTTATGTCCTACATCCAGTTTTGTGTAGTTTTACCTTAGATTTCATAATCCCCTGTTTTATGTTGTCATTTTAGTTTTAATATTTTATGTCATTACTGATCTTGCACTTGGAAAGCACATGAAATTGCTGCTGTGTATGAAATGTGTACTACAAATAAAGCACATTAAATTGCTGCTGTGTATGAAATGTGTACTACAAATAAAGCTGCCTTGCCTTCTTTCTATCAAAACTCAGTGGGACATTTTCCATGTTCACACTAGGGCATTGTTCCTATAACACTTTGAGAGGAAACCTCTTGTCAGCAAGAGGCTTGGAATGTTTACAAATTTAATTTTTTTTTTTGTCATTGATTAAAGTTACAATATCTCCACCTGTTAGGATCATTTTTCTCATTATTGTTTTTTTCTATTTAAAGCCATGCAACAGAAATATAATGAATTTATTCATAATAGCAAACCAAAAGATGAATGGTGCATGAATGGCAAGAGTGCCAGTTTAGAGCACATTTATTAACAGTATAGTGGTACATACAGCAAAATAATAATTCTTATCTGTAGAAACATTTATCCTGAAGGCAAAGCTAGCCAGGCGCTAACATTTTAAAATATTTTTACACAAACATTTTTTTTTAATGTCTATTGTAAAATGAGTAAAACATGCAAGGCACATTCATCATAACAAAATCATGGTTCGATCAATTCAAAGGTGTTCAGAAATGCATAATGTGGAAGAAAAAAAGCACAAAACAAAGCAAATATGTGGCAAAACATCAACTGAAAGTTGTGAATATGATATAATACATTCATTCACACAATTGAAATTTTCTGAAACAGGAACTTTGATAAAAATGGATTCACTAGAAGAGATAAAACAATAATGTAATCAGTGGACCATAACTGAAAACTGAAAAAAGGTGTATTTTTTATGAAATGTCCCCGTTTTCATAAAGGAGTGAATTATCTGAGAATAGTTTAATCCATAAATGTTTGTTTTGGTGTTCATTCAAGTGAATTACATAAATAAAGTTTATGAGTAAAGAGTGTTTTCAGAAAGCAGCATCCCAAGATGAAGTAGACTCAGTCCCAGCTTTCCCTCAAATGTGATGCACAATGGAAGAAAGGACTCTTTAAGGCAGATCTGGAAATAAATGAAAATAACCATAGAACATAGACAACATGAACCAAAACATGCGATGAGAGAAATCAAGAACAGAAATTAAAAAAGGTCAAAACTAAACTTTAAATGGTAAAAAAAAATGACAAAGGATTTGAAAGCAGCCTAGCACTGTACCTGGTTTACTGCATGAGGATGACCCGGACCCACGAGGCCATCGATGGTGGGGAGGCTACACGATCTGTCCAACTGAGTTTTTGTGCACACGTGTTGGATTTGTAGAGAGCGATGCAGCTATGGGAAAAGAAAGAATGACAGAAAACCAGTTGTAGTTAAGAGTTTGAAAGTTGATGGGATGAATCTGATTATTTGACACTATGGTAGCCTGTGAGACAATCCTAAGCTTAGTGGTGTGATGCCAGAAAACTAAAGAAACACAGAACTGTAAGAAAAAGAAGAAAATACGAAAATAAAAATGTCCACTTACAGGAGTTAAAGTAACTGGTGGCGGGTCTGTGAGGGGGAGCAGGAATGAGCCTGGCATCTCCTTGGGATTTAACTGGAACACTTAGTTGATGGAAGTTTTAAGAATTCCAAAATTTGGAGTGTATAAAACAAAGCAATTAACTTGTCCACTGACCACAGACGGCCACAAGTACTGACAAAAGGAGAAGTAGTTTCATAACAGTCTGCACAGATTTACTTTCTTTGAAGAACTCTAGTGTATCTCGTTTTGTAGTGTTTTACATAAAGAAAGTGTACTGCAGTTAATTCAGTACAGCACACAGTAAACCAGGCAACATAAAACACTTAAAGAAAAACAACATCTGCTCACGCTCTATACAAACAGTTAAGTCATTAAGGCATCTGGATGCTTTAGTTAAAATCATTAGAACTATGTTGAGTCACCATGTCATCACTACTGCAGACAAAAAGTTATAAAACAATAATTTGTTTTTCAAAAAAATGTCAAAACTCAAACACTAAAAAGGAATAATTAAAATAATTTCTTTTTGATAGGCAAACAGTAATAGTTCCAGGAAGCACTAGAAAACATAATTTGAACAGGTGTAAAAACTAAACATAGTTTACTTAGAACAGCAGAATAATAAGGCTTTACTTTGAAAACATGATCTGACTTTGCAATCTGTAGCAGAATAGATTTATATTTTGTGTTTATAGTTTTGCCATACCCTCACACATGAGGCAGCTGTCCACATGGATACTATAGATAAAAGAATGAAAAAAATATATAATAAAATGAAAAGCCCAGGCAAGTTTTGTTGTGACTACAAGATATAATGAATAAATAAATTATAATTTTTTTGTTATTGTAACTATTTTTTTGGTGTTAGAAAATGCAACTATGAAGTGCATTAGTATTGCTTGCTTTTAGTTACAATGAAGAACAGGACAAGCTCATCAGAATCTGCGAGTGTAGGTGGATGAGGATGTGAAGGAGGAGGATGAGAAGTTCATGCCAAAGCCTGAGCCAGCATCAATGCTGCCTCTTCTGGAGCCTGATCGGGATCCTGTCCTCGAGCCACTTCGAGAGCCATATGCAGATCCAGAGCCACTGGCATTGTATGGGCTGTAGAGGCCTTTGCTAGACTGAGAGGAGGCCTCCAGAAGCCTTAAGCCAGATCCTTCTTCAACCATGCTTCTGTCCATGGCATCTTTGAAGGAGATTTTCAGTTTGGTTTTTGGACATGTTAGGTATTTAGAATAAGCACTGACATCCCTCAGTTTCTGGGCGGTGCGAGCATCAATGGTTCCTTTTCTGATGGATTCATCTATGGATACTCTGCCCTCAATATCAGGTTCAATAAGACCACCAGTCAAATACTGAACCTCAAGGAAACGCTGGCCGGCCTCATAATACAACCAACCTTTCTTTAGGGCCTGGGAGGCAGACATCTTCACTTTAGTTCTGGGATCCTCAAATCCATTGAAAGCTTTTTGTGCCAGGTTAAGGCGGTCAACCATGACTTTATCTACCAAGGCCTTTTCTGTAGCATCAGCAACTGTGAACTTCTCTCCACTTGTGGGGTCTATTATACCTCCTGTACAGGCTTGGGCCTCCAACAGTCTTTGGCCTGTGATGTTGTCTACTAAGTTTCTGTGTATAGCCTCAGTGATAGACACTTTCTCCAGTGTGTCTATGTCTAATATTCCTGCTATGGGACCAGTCTCCTCTGATGGGTCATTCCAGTTTATTGCAGGTGGTTTAACAGAAGGTATAGGGCTCATGGTAGATGAGTAAGTTGAACCGGTAGTGGAACCAAATGAGGATGAGCGTGAACGGAAACCACTAGCACCTCCAGAGAGCATGTCTGCAAACTCTGTGATTGACAGGTTTCCAGCTCGATATGTGTCTAGAGCTTTCTGGTCAATGAGTCCTCGTGAGAGGGCATCGTCAACATCATATTGTCTACCAGACCTTCTGTCAATGATTAAGGATTTTACAGAATCATCAGTAGAGGTCATTGTGATCTCCTCCCATTCACACTCCTGCTCTGCAAGCTCCAAGTAGGTTTGATGGTCAATGAGCCCCTTTCTGTAGGCCTCATAAACTGTCATTTCTTTGCCTGTCTCTGGGTCTACAATGACAATTCTGCGTTTCCGAACAGAGGATTTGGAAGAAGTCTTATTTTCACGCTTCTTTTCTTTCAGTAACAGAAGTACCAGTCCAGTGTCAGGATCAGTGATACACCTCTCCATCAGCTGAAGGTAGGTCAGGTTTTCTTCTGTATTAGGATCAAAGAAGCCCTTGGTATCATCAGATGGATCTGACAAGATCTCATTCATTTCTTCATCAAAGAAACCACGATTGTAGGCCACCTCAACTGGCAAACGATGACTTTCCTCTGGGTCAATAATTCCTCCAGTGGCAATCTGGGCTTCTAGGAGACGGATACCATGATCTTTCAGGATAAGCCCCTTTTTCATTGCTTGGAACAGAGAGATTGTCTTGCCAGAATAAGGATCTCTATAACCAGTCACTGCCCGCTCAGCAGACAGAAGTTTGTCTTTGAATTCTGGTCCTACAATTCCCATTTTTACTGCTTCATTGACCGTCAATTTAAGGTTCTTGATTGGATCGATGACATACCCTGTGGCTGCCTGGGCTTCAAGGAGTTCAAAGGCAGTTCCTGGTCTAATCATGCTCTTCTTCATGGCCTGGTATATTGACAGACGTTCTTTGGTTGACTCTAAAAATACACCAGCAATACAGCATGTACCCTGAAGGTATCTTGATAGTCTTTTGCTGACCTCCTCCACTGAAAGCAAACCTTCATTTAGTTCAGTGACAGTTTGCTGGTCAATAATTTGAGAACGAATCAGCTCCTCCAATGTGATCTGTTTTCTCAGACCCTTGAAGGTCAGTCTCTTGTCTCCCAGTGAGATAAGTCGTAATCCACCCTCTAGCTTGCATCTCTTGAGAAGCTGTGCATACGATAGTTTTTCATCAGTAACTGGATCAGTGAACCCTTTGATGTCATCTGCCAGCCGCTCATTAGTCTCCTTGTTGATATAACCTCTTTGCAAAGCAATGTCTGCTGGCAAATGAAACTGAAATTCTGGATCAATGATGCCACCAGTAGCATTTTGGGCTTCCAGCATTTTCAGGGCATAATCTTCTGGAACGAGATCCTTCTTCAGAGCCTGGAAAAGCGATATGATCTTCCCACTGTATGGATCTTTGTACCCAGTGACAGCCCTTTCAGCTGAAAGTAGTTTGTCGTGGATCTCAGGCCCAACAACACCTTTACGGACAGCTTCCTCAACAGTTAGTGTTTCATTCTTCACCGGATCAACAATAAATCCTGTTGCAGCTTGTGCTTCTAAAAGCGTGAGACCCACTTCTGGTTTAATGAAACCCCTCTTCATGGCTTGGTATATGCTCATCTTCAAGCTTGATTCTGTTGTGACACCAGCAACACAGCCTGTGCCATAGAGATATTGTTTCACACTGGCCATTTCCATTATGTCACGGATATCCCTCTTGCCCTGTTTGAGAAGGTTATAGGTCTCTAAATCAATGATACGGGCATTGTAAAGCTCCTCAATGGTTATCCTTCTTCTTATAGTCTTGTATGACAGTGGACTGTCATTTATGATGATCTCTCTTTGCTCCATTATCTCAATAATAATGATGATCATTCGCTCTTTAGTGATTTTTCCAGAGCGATATTCCTCCAAGAGTTTCAGTCTCTCTTGTTCTGGAAGCAAATTTGAATTCATTACTTCCCATAGGTTCATTGGTTTATCAGCAAGTCCTTCAATTGGAATGTCAATTTTGGTGTCAGCTAGATCACTTTGAGTTTGTTCTTCTGTATAGAGATATGTCTTCTCCACAACAGTTGGAGACTGAGGTTTAGAGAGTGGGAGGATGTAGAGGCCAGTGTCTTTATCTTTTTGGCATTTTTCTTTTAGGTGCTTGTAGGTTACATTCTCGTCAGTTTCTGGATCCGAGAATGCCTTGTAAGCTGATGGTTCAGATAAGGCCATGGCAGTTTGTTTACTGAAAATGTTCTTTTGGTATGCTACCTCAGTGGGAACCCGATGACTGTTGACTGGGTCAATGATTCCTCCACTGATCACCTGTGCTTCCAACAGAGGCATGGCCTGCTCTTTAAGAATAAGATCTTTTTGCATAGCTTCGAAGAGGGATACTTTTTTGCCTGTGAATGGGTCCTTATAGCCAGTGACAGCTTTTTCTGCAGATAGAAGTTTTTCATGCAGTTCTGGGCCAACAATGCCTGCTTTCACTGCCTCATCAACTGACAGGCATTGGTTTTTCACAGGATCTACAATAAACCCAGAAGCAGCCTGTGCCTCAAGAAGGGAAAGACCAGTGTTGTGCCTGAGTAGGTTTTTCTTCATGGCTTGATAAATGCTTATTGTTTCCTTTGTTGGTTCCAGGTAAATGCCAGCAACACTTTCTGTGCCTTGCAGGTATTTATTAACATTTGGATTTTCACTGACTTGTTTAGGTGTAGTTTTGCCTTGCTGAAGGAGGTCAAAGGTTGGTTTGTCAATGATTTTGGAATCATACAAGGCACTTGCTGGAACAGGAGCTCGAAGCCCCTTAAAGCTTGACTCTTCTTGTTTCTTAGCCTCTTTGTCATTCACGATGGTGATAATAATTGTGATTATCTTCTCAACTGTAAACTTTCCAGACTTAAACTGTCTTAGAAAATCAAGTCTTTGATCCTCAGTAAGATACTCAGAGTTAATTAGTTCCCAGACTGTCATCTTTCTGCCCTTGAAGGGTCCAGAGTCAAGCTCCACAGTTGCTCGAGTCATTGCTTCTTTTGTTTGAGCTTCAGTGTACGTTGTCTCTTCTTTATCATTAATTGCTTCATCACTAAGAGGAAGAACTGAGAGGCCAGTTTTCTTGTCAGTGACACATCTTTTGAAGAGCTCTGAGTATGTGACATTTTCTTTTGTGTTTGGGTCAAAGAAACATTTTGCTTCATCACTTGGATTACTTAAGGCCCGTTTCATTTCATCATCAAAGTAATTCCTCTTGCAAGCTACATCATGAGGAATACGAAGGCTTTTTACAGGATCAATGATGCCACCAGTGGTCACTTGGGCATCAAGCAGCCGAATACCTTGCTCTTTAGGAATTAGATCTTTTTTCATTGCCTGGAAAAGAGACACAGTCTGCCCAGTGTAAGGATCTTTGTAACCAGTAACAGCTCTCTCAGCAGACAAGAGCTTTTCATGCAGCTCAGGACCAACAACTCCAGCCTTTACAGCCTCATCAACAGTGTACTTCTGATTGTTAACAGGGTCAACCACAAATCCTGTTGCTGCTTGAGCTTCCAGCATATTCAAAGCAAGCCCAGGCCTCATCATGTCTCTTTTCAAAGCATGGTAGAAGGGTAAAATCTCCTTGGATGAGTCAATGAGTACACCTGCAATGCAGTTTGTACTTCTCATTGCTTTATTGACAGGCTCCATTTCAGAGACTTCTTTGGCAGAAATATTTCCCTTGAGCAATTTATTGTAAAGGTCTTTGTCAATGATTTTAGATTCAAGTAATTCACTGGCAGAGACAGGGGCCCTTAGACCATCAAAGGTAATTTCTTTTTTCTTCTCTTTCTCTTCAGCCACAGTAATGACAATCTTAATGATCTTTTCGATTGTGATTTTGCCTGTCTTGTACTGACGAAGAAGGTCCTTCTTCTGATCTTCAGTGAAGTACTCAGAGTTGATTATCTCCCAAATGGTGACAGTTTTACCCATGAATCTCCCAAATGGTACTGAGACACTTGTCTTGCTGAATACATCTTTGGTTTCTTCTTCTGTGTATATACTAGAGCACTGAGCAGCTTTTTCTGTGATTGGCAGGAATAACAGACTGGTCTCGGGGTCGGTTTTGCATCTTGACATTAGCTCAGAATATGTCAATGGTTCCTGAGTGCTGGGATCAAAGTATCCCTTTGTGTCATCTGAAGGTTTCTCCATAACCTTATTCATTTCTGTATCATACTGTCCCTGCTTATAGGCAGTTTCACTGGGAACGCGGTGACTGTTGACGGGATCAATGATGCCACCAGTAGCAAGCTGAGCCTCAAGGATTCTGATAGCCTGATCATGCTCTATCAGACCCTTCTTCATGGCTTCAAAAACAGAGATTTTTCCACCAGTGTATGGATCTTTGTAGCCAACAACAGCCCTCTCAGCTGACAGCATTTTGTTGTGCAGTTCAGGGCCAATCACACCTTCCTTTACAGCCTCATTGACAGAAAGTTTTTTATTCCTGATGGGGTCTAAAATGTAGCCCGTGGCTGCCTGTGCTTCAAGAAGGATCATCGCTGTGCCAGGGGTAATCATTTTTTCCTTTGATGCTTGATAGATTGACTTTTTCTGATTAGTAGGAGTTAAAACACCAGCAATGGCATTGTTTCCCTTAAGAATTCTTTTAAGATTTTCAGTTTCTCCAAGCTCTTGAGCAGTGGTGTTGCCATTTTTTAGCTTGTCAAACTCTTTTTTGGGTAAAAGACCAAGATCATAAAGTCTGCTTGCAGGTACCTTACCACGGATGCCATCAAAGGCTAGGGGATCAGGTTTAACCACACCATCTACAACATCACTGGCATTTTGACCATTGTAAACGGTCTTTGTTGTCTCAACTGTTGTTACATGAATCACCGCAGTTTGACTGTCAGCTTCTTTCTGGGCTCCTTCAAGCTGCTGTAGTTTCTCTCGCAATTTTTGGTTCTCTTCTGCAAGAAGCCTTTCCTGTTCTAATCTCTTTTTCTCCAGGTCTTGCATTTCTTTTTGCTTGTTTAGCATTTCTTGTTCAGCCTCTTTTTGCTTATTGAGGGCAGCATCCATGGTAGCCTTGAGTTTCTTCTTTTCCTCCTCCATTTGCTGTTTCTGCCGTTCCTGTTCATCCTTGAGAGCCTTTGCCTTTCTTACTTCCTCTTCAAATTGACTCTCCAGCTTCTTTTTCTCATCTTCAATGAGCTTCTCCTTCTTTAACAGCATCTCTTTTTCTGTCAGGAATGTCTGCTGAAGCAATGTCTTCTCGTGTTCAATTTGTTTCTGCTGAGCATCAGCCATCTATTTGGGAAACAGAAAATACAAGTTACACAAGGTTTCCAGCTGTTACACACACTAATGTATGCTAAACTTTGTAGTTATGAAAATTTTAAAGAACATTTTTTACAATGCACTCTGCTTATACATCAGGTCCTAAAATTTTCACTGGTAACATTAAAATGGCACTCTTGTTTTTTTATGACCTTTTATAAAGGTGCTGTTCATATTCTCTGATAAAGGTGCTGTGCTGAGTTTGAGGCTGACGTGCAATAAACAAATCTAAAAAATATATTAACTTCTATTTATCACTACGCAAGTGGTTAATAGACTGGAAAACATTAGTGTTTGAGTGTGTGTGTATATATCATATATCATATATAATTTATATACATTTTTTTAATTTGGTTATTACAATCTACATTTTCAGTTTGCGTAAAAATTTGGTGACCTTTGCCATGCAAAAAGCAGAAACATGAAGATGTTTTATTTTAAAGTGCAACTGTGGGCCTTGTGAAAAATAAGTGTGCAAATAGGCTTTGAAAGTATGCAATTCTACTTAATGAAATATGGAAAAAAGTTAATAAAATCCAACTGATTCTGTGTAGGTTAGTGTCATCGTTAATTCAATACATTTGCAGTCTCTGGCAGAAATTAAGGCCTTGCAAACTGTATTCGGGGCAAAAAAGCCCAGAAACGCTTGGATCCGCACCGACAAGCCTGCTGCTGCAGAGAGTGGCAAAAGACAGCAGTATCTGGAGTCTTATTTCCTGATTTTTGGACATCTTACATCTTGGAGGAGTTTTCTGGTGGTGGAATTGCTAATGCTAACAGTTAGCTTCTACTGGTCAGGATGTTGTCTGCTGATTCCTGAAAGTTAAAACAACAGCTTCCCTGCTTGTTTCGTCGGTGAGTCATTGAATGTTAGGTGTTTATTCAGACTTTCACACTTTTAAAAGAAATAAATGTAATAAACATTGTGATGATTTAAATAAAAAGGTGAGAAAGATACTAGTTTGTCTTAATTTTCCCTAAATAAAGTTATGCTGCTGGCTAAACAATTTCACTCATGAGTGATAAAAAAGTTTGTTTTTATTTTCATTAAATTATTAATTAATACTTGGGTACTGTGTCATGGCTCAAGATCTGGTTACTGTGAGTAAAAACGATAAACATTCATATAATATAGACGTAGCAAAGGTTTAATCTGAAACAAACCAAAAGCACCACCTGGTGGTTGGCTGCAGTAAGGGTTTCTAGTCGCAGACCCTTGATGTAAATGCTCATAGCACATTGTTGCTTAAGCAGCCATGTATTTTTTTATGTGTTGACTAATGCTTCAGATAATATATATTTTTAAGATTATTAGTTGAAGCTAGTTATTTTATGAAAAAACATGATTTTGTAAGTGAGTGAGTGTTCAGATGGCTCACGGTGGCTCCAAAAATACAACATGGCAGCATACAGCACTTGTAAATTTATTTTGGCTTCATGCTTGAACAACAGAAGTATGTTGAAATAACATCTCTACTCTTTCCTCTAAGCAGAGCTCTTTGATTTCCAACTAAGGTGAGTTTTAGCTTAGTTTGTGGGTGTGTGTCTTTCTACTTAAGGACCAACACATAAATGCACTTAACGAACCCGCTGAGATGCTAGTTTCAAGCTTTTAGGTTGTAGACTGGTTCTTAAACTAAAATAGAACGTTGCATGAGAGTAAATATGAGTGAACATTCCAGGACATGAAGAGGCATTCGGGATACGATCTGCATGAGCACAGTGCACTGTAAGAAAATTATACAATCATTATCAAGATTAAAAATATAGATTTGAAATTAGTATACTCAGAAAGAAAAGAGTAAATTCCGAGAAGGAAATGAGTTAGTATTTAGACAGTTAACAATGACATGAGCTGCTCTGCTATGCCATTTTTGACACAATACCTCTTTGGACTTATTTTGAAGGTCTTCAGCCTCCCTTTTCAGTCTATCCTTCTCGTTCTCTAGGTCTGCAATAGCTTTGCGTAAATCATCAGCCTCCTTGGTGGTATTTAGTCTCTCAGATTCCAGTCTTACAACTGCAGTCATTTTTTCTGTTGTTGCGATTTCAGTCTCGTGAAGACGAGCAGCAATTGTATCTGCCTGTTTCTTGAATTTTTTAGCCTCTTCTTCAGCTTTGGCTTGGGATTCACTAAGCTGAGAAACCTGAAGTCTGAGTTTTTCAGCTTCAGCTATGATCTCTAGTTGTCTTTTCCTCTCTGCTTCTAGAGAGCGCTGGTATTCCTCTGTTTCCTCCTCTAGACGCAGCTGCATTAGTTGTTTATCCTCCAGGAGCTTCTGTGCCTGTTCCTGAGCCAGGTCTTTCTGCCTTTGGAGCATCTCTGCCTCAGCTTTAAGTCTGGATGCTTCTTGTATGGCCTGCATTTTCTCTTTGAGCATTTTCTCTGCAAGCGCTCGTTGCTGGTTGAGGTCTTCTTCTGCAATTTGTCTCAAGCGGGCAGTCTCTTGGGCTTCAATACTAAGTCTGGCGGCATCTTCTGCAAGCTTTTTCATGTTCTCAGCCTCCTCTGCAAGGAACTTCTGGGTGTTGTCTTTATCTTTTTTGATCAGACGCTGGTTTTCCTCTTCAATTCTAATTTTAAGCTTGAGTAGTTCCTCCATCTGAATCTTGACTTTAAAAAGCTCATCCTCCACTTGGGCCTTCTGCTTGACAGCATCATCAACCTCATCTTTCAGGCGCTGCAGCTCCTCATCCAGCAGAGATTTCTGCTTGTCTGTTTCATCCAGCTGAAGCCTGACCTTTGTGAGCTCTTGTTCCACTTGGAACTTTTGTTTTAGCGTTTGCTCGGCCAGTTTCTTATGCTTTGCCATTTCAGAGTCGGCTTGCTCTTTCTGCATGAGAGCGGCAGCTTCTGCTTGTGCTCGCTTGGCAGCTTCAAATTCAGCCTCCTTCCTCAGCAATTCAGCATCTTCTTGAGCTTTAGCTTGGCTTGCAGCTTCTTGCTCAGCAGCAGCTCTTTGACGCTCAGCTTCCTCCGCTTGCTGACGAAGAAGAGCTGCCTCCCGTTCTGCCTTTTCCTTAGCAGCTTCTGCTTCTTTGGCAAGCTTCTTGGCTTTCTCATACTCCTCCTTAAGCTTTGTCTGCATCATGCTGTCTTCCTTCTGTTGAGCAAGAACACTTTGCACCTGGTGCTGAGCTGCGTTGCATTTCAGGGCTGCTTCTTGGGCTGCAACAATCTGTTTTTCTGCCTCTTTGTCTGCCTCATCTTTTTGCTTTTTGGTCTCTTCTGCTCTTTTTCTCAGACGGTCAAGCTCTTCTTGGGCTGCCTTGTGCTGTCTGGCCGCCTCTTCCTCCGCTGCAGCAATCTTCTTGACCTTTTCCTCTGCCTCCCTCCTCCTCTTCTCCTCCTCAAGGGCAAGCTTCCTCAGCTTCTCCGCTTCCTCTTCTGCTCTTAGCTTGCTTCGTTGAGTTTCCTCAGCAATATTTTTAAGCTTATTCAGTTCCAGCTCCAGATCCAGTTTTCCAGATGAGGCCTTTTCAAAGTTGAGCTTCAGAATTCTTATTTCTTCCTCAACAACTCGCTTCTGTTTGAGTGTGTCGTCTACCAATGCTCTCTGTCTGTCCATTTCAACCTCTGATGACTTTTTGAGAAGGACTATCTTTTCTTCAATCTCTTGTTTATGTTGGTTCGCCTGGTCCTCGAGAGCTTTCCTCTGGTATGCCTCATCCTCAGCTTGCCGTCTGAGCCTCTCGTTTTCAGCCTCCTTCTCCTTCAGGGCGATTTCAGCCTCTGTTTTCTTAAGGGTGGCTTCACTGATGGCAGCTAGCTTCTCTTTGAGAATTCTCTCAGCCTCCGCCCTCTGACGAGCTGCCTCCTCCTCTGCAATTTGCCGCTGATGCTTGGCATCTTCTGCAATGGCTCTAAGCTTGCTTGCCTCTTCGGCCAAGTCCCTCATCTTTTCTGCTTCTGCTTCAAGGAGTTGTTTGCTCTTCTCTGTGTTGGACATGGATTCCTTCTCAGCCCTAGACTTCAGCTGGATAAGTAAATCCATCTCACTTCTAACTTTGGCCAATTCATCTTCCAGTTGTTTCCTTTGTTGTTGAGCTGCAATGACTTCATTCTTCAGGCGGTACAGCTCATCCTCCAGTAGGGTCCTCTGTTGCTCTGCATTGTCAAAGTCGGCCCTGAGTCGAATGAGTTCCTGCTCTGCTGTGAGTTTCTGCTGAGCTGTGCTGTCGGCTATTCTTCTCTGCCTCTCGAGTTCTTGCTCGGCCATTTCTTTCTGCTTCAGCGCAGACTCCTCAGCCTTGGACCTCTTCTTCGCCTCACGCTCTGCCTCCTCCTTCTGTTTCTCAGCTTCTTCTTGAGCAAGGCTCTTTTTGTGCGCCTCTTCTTCAGCTTGTAGTCTTAGACGAAGGGCCTCGTTGGCCTTTTGTCTCCATTTCTCAAGTTCTTTTTCTGCCTCTTCTCTGGCTTTTTCAGCATCCTCCTGTTGTTTCTTGAGATGAGCTGCTTCTTGCTGCAGCTGAAGGACGGCACCGTGCTCTTGCTTGAGCGATTCCTCCAGCCTTGAGGTCTTTTCCACAAAAGAGATGTGCTTGCTCTGGAGCTCAACAGCGGCACTTTTCTGGGCAGCTTCATGAGCCACTTTGATTTGCCTCTCCTTTTCAAGCTCTGCTTGTTTGACTTGTCTCTCTGCCTCCTCTGCCTGTCTTCTAAGGTTTTCTAGGTCTTCAAGAGCTTTTTGTTTTTGCTTTGCAGCATCTTTTTCTGCCTCAGACTTGCGACTGAGTTCCTCTTCTGCCAAACGCTTTTTCTGCGTTTCTTCATTGACTTGTTTACGAAGCTTTTCTGCTTCTTCTTGAGCTGCTTTTCTGAGTTTCTCTGCATTGGCTGCTCTGTCCCGCAGTTGCTGGAGTTCATTTTCTGCAGTAGCCTTTTGTTTTACAGTAATTTCGAGCTGGGTTCTGATGGTGCGAATTTCCTCCTCGATCTTGATCCGGCTTTGAAGCGCCTCATCCACCTGTTGACTTTTGTTTTTGATCTGCTTCTCTGAGAGGTTTTTGAGCTCCTGCAGCTCCAGCTGGATGTTTTGCTTCTGATTTTCTGCATCTACTGCAGCAACTTCTCTCCTGCTTACTTCTTCCTGCATTCTGAGCTTCAGCTCTTGAGCCTCTTTCTCGGCTTTGGCAATGGCCTTTGCGTGCACTTCAGCTAACTGCTTCTGTTTTTCTAACTCAGCCTGCATCTCCGCCATCTTTTTCTGCTCTTCTGCTTTCAGTTTCTGTGCAGCTTTCTGCATTAGTGGAAGCAAATGGTAAAGAAAGGATTACAATCAAGCATGACAGGGTAAAGGTAATACTTTTACATTAACCAGCTCGAAACAGTGTGAGTTCAAATCGTTAATACTTTGGTAAGCACAGCCAAAACACACTTGTTTAAGAGCACATTAATGTATAGTATTGCCTTGGCAATGTTAATGTTAAAATTAGCTCAAAGAAAAGTTCAATCACTAGATGCAAATTAGATGCACATTCATTAAGATTATGTTAAATTCACGATGCAATTAAATAATCATGACAAGATCATTCAGGGAAAAACAGAAGATGTGGATGTGTGAATTAATGTATGGAAACAAAATTTCACTTCACAGCACAGCAAGAAAATCACGGCATGCAACTGTAGCTGCAGGTCCAATTCTGTTCTACCACACTAAAACTAAAACCCTGAATGGGTCTTATATTAATGCCAACAACAGGGTACGAATCACACAGAGGCTTCCAGGGGATCCCAGTGAGGTGAGGGAGGGGGGGTGTCTATTTTCATACCTTTTCACCTCATGGTTTACATTTGATTTAAGCAAATCAAAGGGATCTACCATCCACAAAAATAGAGAAGTGTGCAATGCATGGCCGCACCAGCAAGGCAAAGTCACCGCAGTGCAGGTGATGAGCTCCGCATAAAAGAAAGTACCAGAGACTATGAGCAGACATGAACAATCATGTGATAATTTAATTTTTGGGTGGCGCCACTTTGAGAAAGTTACTGAGTGTCCATGCGCAGGACATAGCTTCCTGTAGCGCATCCACAATCAGCTCTCTCCATCTCCTCTGCTCAAAAGAATCCCTGGTATGTTGAGTCCATATAAATAATGTCATATAGGTTGAAACAAGATCTCTTTTTGGGCTCCCCCTGCGTGGGTAAGTTGAGGGCTTCTAGGGGAGCCGTCACCATTTAGGTAAGCTAGGCTCCCCTTAGCTCCCCTGTAATTTGAACCCTGGTCAACAAGAACATCTAACATTATTTTCTAAATGCATTTAGAAAATACATTTAAAAATAATCACCAACAGACCTAGTGATTAGATGTGTAATCACTACCAGATGGGGTTTTGTTTATACCCCATACATGCCCTTTTATGCACAGGGATATTTGTTAAATTTTCAAAATAAAGTGTAGGTTAGAGTCATTTTCTCACTCAGAACAAGTTTTTCATCCCATGCAGTGGGGGTTCTTTAAATCACCATTTCAGACCAAATGTAAAATGTAGGAAAGTGGAAACTTTAGGTGAACTCAGTGTTGGTCAGAAAAACAGAGGAAGGCTGTTTATTTAGAGAAGGAACATCAGATTCTGCTAAACAGTCTGAACAATTGAACTGCATTACAGAAGAGTTGAATGAAATTCAAACAAACATGGAATGGAAAGTAAAAATACAGTTTGAGAGCCACGCGGATGACAGGGACGACAAATGGACATTAGATAGGTACCTGAAACACCAAATAGTTTTACCTCTTATATGTTCAAACATGGCAAAGCACTGGCAAGCAGTAAAAAGGAGCAGGGACACAAATAAACACTGGGTTAGAAAGGAATGGAAGTCCTTGAATCTGGGTAGAGAAAAGCTGAAGACAGTGACAACCAGACTGACCCACAAATGGAATAGTTTTGAGTGGAATCTCTAGGAAAATGATAACGGGATGAAACAGTAAAGGAAACTATAACAAAGTGAAAGAAAGAACCCCTCATTCTAAATCTACTATGACGCAACACTCAGAATGAATGAACATGAATGCGTGAATGTATTTACCTAGTCTAGACATGGTGGTCTTAATTAGCCTCTAACTGATTAATCTACAGTACTGTAAATAAGCCAGGAGCACTCCCAGGCCTTGTGGACTGTACTGATGCCCAATCCACCTCAACACTCTAAATAAAACACAAGCAATGCTTTTGCTTGTGGTTATTTTTGGATTTGGTTCCAATGTTGTAAGTAAGGCCATGATGGCATTTGCCCTAAAATAGTTGCATCTCTTGCTAATAGACCTGCTACAGCATGCCAGTGTTTCATGCATTCCTAGTGTAAAGCAACACTTTGTCATCCGTACATTAAAAGTAAATGTGCATTAGAGAGAAGCAGGAAGTGTGTGTGTGTGTGTGTTTGTGCATGCATCTTGGCGATCAGTGGGGAGTTTGAGTCATTTGTCTGTTGGTTGGTTGGTTGGTTGGTTAGGTTAAAGTTAGAGTTTAGTTTGTTTGGGACCCTCAGACAGTTGTCACGTACCTCCCCATCCTCCAGGCGTTGCTGCGTGTCTGTGATGAACTTGATGTACTGAGTGGTCAGAGTCATCAGCTCACTGTACCTGGTTCTTAGTGTTACATACTGTTGATGGATGGACACACATTTGGAAAAGAGGAAAAAGCAGACCAAATATAATGTGCCATGGTTGAATTCCAATATGCTCCTCAGTCTGTACCAACACTATACTGTATATTAGTCACTGTTCCTGCTGCAAGATGTTGAATTACTATCTTGTAATTACCAAGAACAAAGCTAATTTATTTGTAGAAAGAACAGATCTGTATTGTACTTGTGAGGAAAACCTTGAGCGTGCACTGTTTGGCCTAGAGACTCACCACTCCAAAACGTAAAATTAGAATGTGGTGCAAAAGTCCATTTATAATAATGAGATACTATAATAGCATCATCTGTGGCTCTAGTACCTACACTGCAGCAGCCATCATAAGAATAAAAGCCCTAAGAACATACCTCCTGGATGATGTTGTCAGAAGCAGAATCCAGCTTGGTTTTCTTTAGAGGAGAAGTTACAGGCTCCACCTGGGCTCTGTAGGCAACCAACTGGAGCTCGTAGTCCTGATTACACAAATAAAACATCGTTAGTTAAAGGCAAAAGCTTCCTGTATGTTAAATATTACCTTTTAATGTGACTGTCATCTTTAATGCTCACCTTAATAGTATCAATGTATGCTTTAGCATACGTATGACACTCCTCCACCTTATCTTTGTTCTGTTCAATCTCCTTCAGTAGTTTCTGTTTCAAACAGGAAACTCAATTAAATTTAGCTAAGTGTTTTTTATTTTTATTTTTTTTACATAACAAACCAGAAGGTTGTTACTGTAAAGGTTTTTACGTTTTCCTGGGCAAGCTGATCTTTCAGAGTTTTGCTGTCAGTGATGGGAATGGCCTGGATCTTCTCCTGCCTTTGCTTGGCGTCGGCTATCCAGCGAATCAGCCAGTCGTAGCTCTCGCGGTAGTAACCAAGCTGTCGACCAAGCTGATCGAGTTCTCTCTGGCGAAGGTCGATCTGGGTGAACACTGCTTTCCAGCGGTCCTGGAGACTAGTCGTCAGCTGGCGGTAGTGGTCTAGCTCAGCATCGCGCTCGCTGTGCACGCGGGACATCTTGTCACTTACGACTGAAGCCTTCTTCAGCTCATCTTCCAGGGAATCAAAAACTGGCTGCTGACCCTCCGCCTCCACTCGCATTTTCTGGAAATGCCAAATCCAAAAGTAGCCAGTGAGTTGTGAGCACATAGGGTCAAATTAATCTGCAGAAGTCTGAGCTCCAGTGGTTATATCCTGTCGTGTTTGACTCAGTTTGTGCGCAATACTATAAACTGTCTCACAGAGGCAATTCAACCACTTTTACAAACGTGACTGTGTTCACCTTAAGCTTGGTCCTTTGAGTCTCTACTTCCGTGACATTGCTGGGGACAGTGTGGACCTCACGCAGACAGTCTTCATACTGCTTTAGGACTCCCTCAGCACCCTGAGTGTTACGGATCACCATGTCCACGGTCTTCAGTCTGAGAGAAGACATGGTATTTTGAAAAGATCAAAAATAATTTGGAAATGATGCATTAGCTCATCTGATTAAGTACTTGGAAACCCACTTCTCAAGGTAAACAGAAGACAGCATGTAGACATGATCCATCTTCTGCACAGTAACATCAAGCTCTGAGCGCAGCACTGGAGCAAAGGCCGACTGCTGAGGGGAGGCCAGCACCTGCTGAGTCTTCACAGACACCTTATCAAGGTCCTTCTTAAGGCCTTCAAGCTCTCCTTGGACTTTCTGTATGACACAAAAACATCAGAGTTAACAACATCAAACAGGTTACAAGGAAACAAAGCCAGATGACGGCAGGATACAACCACAAACATCCTCACCAGCTGGTTTAGAGATCTCTATTAAGCTCCTGCAGCGCATGGTGGATGCAGCTAGCAGGATAACGTTTGCCCCTCTGTCATTCCCCAAGGACTGAACTTCTTGGGTGTGAAATTGACTATATTTGATTTGATACTGGGATTTGATAAGACACACTGCTTAAATTTTCAAGAACCCCAATAACCAGAACATCTGCAGCAGAAACACAGCCAAGAGATCTGTAATCGCTAACTTTGATTAAACAGTATGAAACACTTCTCACTGCCTCATTTGCTCCTTAATTCTCATACTTGAATCATCACCCTGACTATATAAAAATCTCCAAACTCGTCTCCTCTATCATTTCATGTGAAACACCAGGTTTACCTGCTGCTCTGTTCTTTTCTGAGCACACTCTCTCAGAGGCTCTTTCTCCGTTGGTTTGCGGATGCGAGCCACAGTCTGAGCCTCGCAGGTCTCTAAACGCAGACGCAGGTCTTTGACCTCCGAAATGTAGTTCTTACACAGAGTCTCATCTTGTTGACCTGCACAAAACATGTTTTGGATTAAAAAAAGCAAGAAAGAAAGAAATCGCTTTGTTGGTTTTAATACATGAAATACATGAAAACACATGAAACATAAGGTTTTATATTAACAAACTGGGAAGTTGCCTCATTGGTGACTTCATGTAAACGCAACATTCCTTTTAGCATACATCTCTAAATGCTTGCATATATGTCAAATACACATAGCATCACATTCTACATTTACATTGAAAACGATGTTGCATGTATAATAATAGGTAAATGTGGCCCAAGGTGGTATTTGAAGCTGCCAAACAAAGCAACCCGGGAGCCAAAACATGCAGTCACACATGAAACTTCTCTACGGGAGTCAGATGTTTACATACACTCACCAAGGGCATGGATGCCATTCACTTTGGCTTTTTACCCATTTGCTTTTCTAAGGAAGAATGGTGATGATACTTTTCAAACAGGAGTGTTTGAGTGTCTGTGCACATGTATTAAGTGGTTCCACAACGTATTTTATTTGAACACGGCCAAGGTTGATAACCTCATTAGTGATCATGGTTGATTTCTCTTTGCAGCAATAACTCATCTATCACTCTCAGATGAAAGGAAGTATGTTGAAATGTTTGGCAACAACCCAGTAACTATCAAGGCAGAGCACTCCTATGAACTGGAACAGTGAGTTGTGTTTTACATCTCCATGGGCTGAGAAGGTTCTGACCATCTTGAGGCTAAAACCTGCAGCTGCCCCCATAAGCAAGTCACATTTCTTCTAGAGAATCGTTTATTGGTCAGACATGTGAAAGATAGAACAATCTAGCAACTAGGTCAAGGAGGTGTACAATAGCATGATGGAAGTCACGTGTTGTTTAACCATTCCACCGTTAAAAACTCAAGAACCAGTCGTACATTCCTGCCCATGATGAATGCATACACACTTCTGACCCCAACCATAGCTGCTAATGCTTGTGTTTAAGCATCCCGTCCAAAGTGCTAAAGCATGTACTCAAGTCAGCTCGGTGCATCTGGCTGGTATTAAGTTACTCACCTTTGAGCCTACTAGCCATTTGTCCTGAAAGGTGAATGGACATTTTTATACTGTACGAGTGCTATGCAAGAATTTTTTTTATTTCTTTATTCTACCTGCTAAAAAAAATGAAAACAAAAGACTTTTGAGTCTTTTTAAAGGGCATCCTACCTTTCTCCATGGAGCGAAGCAGACCGTCAAAATGTTGGGTGCACTTGTTGTAGTCATCCTCAATCTGCATGCGGTCATCTGGACCAAAGAGCTGAGAGTCCTGACTGTCACGCATGAAGTCCTGGTAGTGGAGTTCCAGGTTTCTCATCACCAGCCGGTACTCCTCTGGTTTCATGGTCTTTAGCTGCACAGAGATGAGGTTAGAACCAGCTCCACTCGTTGCTCTGAAGTGTACTTTTACCTAAAGTCGTTTGTAAAGTTGGCTGAATATTATCAACAGATTTAGTTCCACTTGTTGCTACCAACCATGGTGATGTTCCAGGAGCGTATCAGTGTGAAATCTCTCATCAGGTACTGCCATGACAACAGACTCTTCATGTTCATATGGAGCGTCTGCCACATGGTCACTGTCTGCTGATGGCCTGCATCCAGACTACAGTAGGACAGGTGTGATGTTAATCAGATTGAACCTCAGAAAACGCGTTACAGAGGTTGAAAAAAAAAACAGAAAAGGTTCTTCTTTAAGCATGTTTAGATTCTTACCTGGAAACGCTGTCCACAGCCTCCTTGTTGACTGGAGGCACAATGAAGCAGACAGAAGGAACTACTGCTTCATGTCCAGATCGATTTAAAACCTTCCACTTGAAGGGCTGAGAGTTGTTTAGGAGAGCACACTCATCTCCTTTATGAACCGTGATCTAAAACATATCAAAGGCAGTTTGTTCAGAATCTGTTGTAAAGGTGTTAAAATGATACTATGCAGTTTGGGCTTGCGTTTAGCACCCTCTAGTGTCTGCTAGTAAAACCAAAAGTGAAACTTATCTATTTGCTGTGCATTTGTAACAGCTGCAACATCTCCCCAGACTTTGTTAGTGTCTACAGGAGTGATTCATCACTAAATTTAACAAATCAGCTGTGCTCATGATCTAAAACATGCAGGAAAAGTGCTGGAAGCAGCTTGCAATGCCAGGTATGTCAGCTCCACTTCACAATGTCCAACAGACCGGACCAACACTGAAATTGCAAGTACGATATTCTGGCCGTGGAGGGTGGTGGGGGTCTGAGTCACATTTCATTAACCTTGTAAAGGGTCATTTTAGCAAATACTGGCTCAAGAAAATTATTTAATATTATAAAAAGTTACACAGCGTGCCTTTAAAAGTCACTGCTGTGTGTAGCCTGGAAAGCCAGACTAAATAAAGGTATGGCAAGCCAGACAAGAATTTGGTCTAGTTCACTAGGCTATGCTGTGTGATGATACTGACCTCCTGCTGCTTGAAGTCACAGACAGCCTGAACCGGCAGTTTGCCTTTGATGGGGGTGGTGGGATTGCGAGGTTTTAGTTGGACAATGGACCTGGAACTCTTGTTCAGACCAGCCACCAGAGTCTTAAACTCATTCAGCTGTTCCTTCTCCTCCTGCATGGAACAAACCAATAGACATTAATACTATAACCTCTGTTTAACTCAGAGTCCCAGACATCAATCACGCACTCGTGTGTGAGCACGCTCATCTACCCACCACAGCGTCCTGCAGCAGATCCTCCAGGCGTGTAGCTGTCGTAGATTGATCACAGTTATACTTCTTTTTCATGCCCTCTTGCATTTTCTTCATCTTGTCTTGAGCCTCTTTTACATCAGCAAAGAACTGCAACGAGACAGGAGAGGCTCAGAACAGTTATGAAACAACACCACGTGTATCTCAGAAGGTTTATGGAAAAGGTATCAAAATCATCCCTGTTTGTGTTGCTCACCTGGTAGTAAGCTGTGTTTTCTTTGAGATGAGCCTCTATGCAGCAGCACAGCTGCAGAATCCAGCTCCACTGAGTCTGCAGGGCAGCTGTGAAGGCCTAGTGGTGACACGGTGTTTTAGTTTGAGACTTAGTACTTAACGGTTTATCTTTTGAGGATACACTGCATCTTTAGTCACCTCAACTGTCTTCTTTCCAGGATGTCCATCCTTGACCAGCGTGTCTCCCAGAGCCTGAATATCAGTAACCTTCTTCTCTCTCAGCTCCAGCTCTCGCATCAGACCCTGAAGAGTCCAAAGAGCACATGTGTTGGTCAAAAATGACTCATAAACCTTTGTTCATGCATGCAAAACTCTAAATAAGCAAAGACATTACACACAGAGTAATTCTCTTTCTTGGCTGTCATGTTCGTGTTCCGGTCACTCCAGTCGTAGTTGACCTCCTCCTCCTCTTTGTCGTTTAACCACATTAGCTCCTTGGTCGCAGCAGTGACAAAGGCATGCAGAGAATCCAAGTTCCTCAGGCGGGACTTAGACGAGTTCTGGAAACAAAAAATCCCCATAAGACAACAGACAACAGAATCAGAAAGAGATCTTCACACACATGTCTAGAATGTAGAATTACTCACCAGTAGTCTTCCATACTGAAGGTCCAGTTTCCCCAGATATTCTCTGTATTTGCCTTTGCTAACAGGAGATAGTTGGTTCTAGAGCAGGCAAAAGGGGTCGTTGTTATTAAATGGAGATAGTGTACATGTCCACTTTATGAGCTGCCTACTTCGGTACTGTACCTCATCAGTCCTGGCCCGGTCAATCTTAGATTTAAAGTCCTCGATGGTCTGATGCAGTCCTCTGTGGCTGCCCAGCTGGGACTCCACTGACGGCAGATCCGTTCCCCACTCGGCTTTGTCAATGCGCTGCTGGTTCTCCTCCACCCAGGCCAGAAGGTCTTCCACGTAGCGCAGGGTCACATCATCCAATTCTGGCCGCACCTTTTGGGTACTCTGGGTTTGGAGAACACGGGAAGATGTCACAACCTTCAGACGAAGGTTGTAGTCACTGCGAAGGTTCACCAGGCGCTCATGGAGGTGGAAAACTCTGAGATTAAAAACAGAAGCAGTGTTGGTATTAGAAATGTAACCGTTTCTCTGTTAGGTAATAAACTCGTGTCCTGGTCCTCTGTGATCAAACAGAATGGAACACCCACCTGCGGTACATCTGTTCAGCCTGAGGGTGGCGTCCATCCTTGAGGATTTGGACATCATTGAAGAGGAGGCGAATCACATTGTCTGCTTTGTCCAGCTCCCGCTCTACCTCTGCTGTGTGCTGGGCTGGCTTCCCTGCGTTCAGCAGAGCCATGTCCTGGAGGGAAGTCGAACAACAGGTTCTGAATTTCCACCAATTGCATTAAGGACGTTTCATTTGCTAGATTTTTCACTGCAACAATATTAATAGAAACATCTCCGTTCGTATCTCGTGTTAAAGAACAGAACCTTAGGATTTCTGAACAGTATTTTTTGTAAAAGGTTTATAATAAACATCCAGTCAGGTATGTGAAGAAGTGTTTTATATTCGTCTGAATTTACAGATTCAGATTAGGAGCAAACTCTAAAAACCAAATAACCTTCTGCAGCAGGTTCTCCAGGTGAGCGAGCTGGTCATCACACACCCCCGACTCCATCTGGACTTTAGAGTAAATCCTCTGGAGCCTCTCAAGTCTGGATCAGACAGGAATAGAAAACAATTAAAAAACAATCACTTATCCATCTACAGCCCTCTACAGGCTGATGACTCTCATTCACAGAGCCGACAGTTCTCACTCTCTCCACTCTGTCATGTAAACGCTGGAAAAGGACAGGAACACAGCAGCTTTGTTAAAACCTATGATACTAAGACACATTCTAGTGACTTTAACTTTCCCTTCAGAACATTACCTTAGTAGAAAACCAGGTCATTTACACATTAGCTCTCATTAGCTCGGGATTTGTGTATTTACGTTTTCAAGGAAATGGCGTCTTCTTCTTAAAATAATTCTTTAGCACACCTTCTTGTCTATAACCTAATCTTGACCTTTTAATTCTTCATAACTGTAGGTTTAGATTACAGATGCCTCTAAACTAGTGAAGTAGAAACAGTCTAGAGGTTAAATTTGGGACCAGATTGATTTCTGCACAGTTCTGACTTGTTCAGACTGCATTCCTTGCCAAAGGGAAACAGGATACAAATGATTTGGAGCTGAGAAAAGATAAACTGTTCCACATCTGCCACTTTACGAACCTCTCAAACTCAATCCTGAGCAGTCGCTCTCTCTCAAGGATGGCCACGTGGAGTCGCCCCCACTCCTTCTCCACATCAATGGGATGGTAGCCTGGGGGGACCTTCACCTGACCAGCTTGCACTGCACTCTGTGGACATGTCAACATTTGATAGCTCGAGTTATTACTATAAATATTTGACTGTGTATAGAAAAAGTAACAATCAGCTTACCTCAAAAGACTGGTAGATTTGTTTGGAGTGGATCTTGTCAGACTCTTTTACTGGAAGCTCGGTTTCTTTGAACTTCAAAAACTGGCGCCAAAGAAGCTGAACATAGAAATGCACAAAAGTATTTAATACTTCAAATTATCTTTTCTTCTTTTAGGCGTAACCTGGGTTAAAGGAGTGGTTCCTTTTTTTGCAGTTTGTGTTTGTTTAGGTCATAAAAAATTGCTGCTGTAGCAGCTGTACATAAATAAATTAACCTTTTTAGTCCACCAGGATGGATGAGCTAACGGCTAGTCTGAGCTCAGGCCAAGACCAAAGTGTTTTCTGCCATCTGAAAACAACTAAACCTTCAAAGCTTCATTCTGGCTGATATGAATGTTCGCCTATAAACCTTTGCACTACAGCTCGTTCCACATCACATACAATTATATGGGTGGCTAAAAATGTAAATATAATCAGCAGCAGTACAACTGAAGACCTGAGCAGCATCCAAGCACCAGAACTGACAGGATTTTATTAATTTATTTTACAAAAACAGTAAATGAAAACAGTAGTGCAAAGCTGTTTCACTCACACTAGCCGTTAGCTCGTCAGTCATGCTGGATACAAGTAAGTTTCTTTAAACAGAGGCCATTCAGGAAGCCATCCATGAGAGTAAGTTAACAATTTCCACTGAAACACACGTGAAAATTATCCTAAAATGTCTTAAAGTTTACAAAAGACTGCATTTCAACAGCAAAGCTTCAAGTGTACTTTGTTAAAGTCAACAGATTTTTACTGATAATCATTAACCCAACACCACTCTTACATGAATTCCCTGAAAGAAAAGGTTTACTGGCAGTAGCACATGACCAGGTATAAAGTGTCCAGTAAACAGCAGGCTGAAGACACTGACTTCATCATGTTCCCATGACTGGTGTAAATCTAATCAAGCCTCCAACACAGTCACACCATGTCACTACTTCTGCTCCACATTTAACCCATTTGATGTTTTTAAAAACAGACACATCCACTTTTTTTGAAAGAAAAAAAATAAGAAGTCTAGTTTTTATTTATGCTGTTTTTTCTTCATGTTAGAGTGCTGGCAGAGTTGGAGACTGCTAAAACATGTTAGCTGCAGCACTAAAGCACAATACCTGCGGGCTTTGTTTAGCTACCCACAGTCAGACGTTATGTAAGAGTGCCCTTTGAACAACATCTATTCACGTTTCCTCTCATTCATTATAAATCATTGTGTCCATGAAAGGTTTTAAATGTTCTGATGAACATTTTCATTTAGAGGACTTCAGTGGAGACACTTTTGAGTTAGAGAAAAAATAAATAAACTTCAAAATTACTCACCTCTATCTCCTCATAACTTCCTGGGAACTTCCTCTCCTCAAAGATGGTAACATGGTGGCGGATCCACTGGAGCAGAATGGTCACCAGCTCATAGTATTCCTGCCAGCGCAGCTCCAGCTCCTGTGAGCCAGCACAGCAGACAGACTCATGAGAGTTTGACAACAACAAACAGCAGGATCCTTATCCTCTGGCATCGCCATGTTGGACAATCACACACCACTCTATTCAATTAGCTAGCAACAATCCATCTTTTGTGTCTGAAGAAGTTGATGGTGGAAGGGGTAGACCGTGATGACAAGAGGCAGGCACCATATTTTTCAGATTACATTTTTGTGCAGTTACTCCCACCTTTATGATAACATCAGTAGTAATGATCATATCATATATTATTTGTAGGGTTAGGTCTTCATACGTTCCATACCCTTCCTTCTATTCCTGTAAGGCCCACATGATCCTAATTTCTGAAGTGTGTTTTATTTTTATTTATTTTTTGTCTGTTGCCACACAGAAAAAATGTTGAGTGATACATTTTTACTTATGTATTTGTTGGAAAAACACTTTGGGAAACACAAATGATACAAGCAAAACCCTCAAAGTCTTCAATCAACTTTTGGGCTGATGTCATTTCAAGATGGCCGCCACAACCATTAGCAAATACAACAATTTGCTAATTGCTGTGGAGTAAAAATGTTGGAACTCCAAACATGTAACAGACAGAGCTAAAGTTGGGTGTTGTAGTGGCTTATAGTCGTCACCAACATGAACTCTATCTATCTCTATCCAACTGACAGCATGAGGTCTTGGCACCAACCATATTAGAAAAACATCCCATTTAACTCTGGAATGGAAGGCGGCATGAGACACGGCCCTTTAGGTCCAGTTTATTCCAACATACTGACTCTTAGCTTCAAAACTTTACACAACTTTTCATACGTGGCTTACATTGGCCCTGAGACCATCGTGGGCATCAACGCGAGGCATGACATCGTACAAGGATGACACGTAGGTGATGATGGATTTCTCATCTGGGTGTGGGACATCAACATCTGAAAGATTCAAAACGAATTGTCTTACATGTCTTTAAAAACAACTGACTGTGGTTTCGTTGAAACGGATACTGGCCCGTCATACCTTCAGGGTCCAGGAGACGGGTCACTCCCAGGTCTCTCTCAGCCACACCAAAGGCTTGTTCAAGGTTCTCCAGGTTGGTCTGTCGATACACTTTGCCCATGTCGATGAGTCTGGGGCTGTGAAAACAACGTTTATGCATTAAAGTAAAAAGTTAACCATCAAGCTATATTTTCAGATGTATCATGTTTGATACTTATGATATTTAATAACTTTAAATGGATGCTTGTTTTACACTGTGACCTTTAACCCTTTGCCAGTTAACACAAAACAATGTTGGCTTGCAGCACAGGCAGACACCAGTAGAAAGAGGAAGACCGTACGTCTTTAATACTGCAGAAAATCCGATTGACAGAACTAATGCAGCTCATCACCTCGCAGGCTTTAAGGCTACGGCAGCAGCAGAGGGGTGCAAGACTTTGTGCCAATGGCTAAATGCTGTCAAAGGGCCCACCTGTTCCCTTTCTGAAAAAAACCTACAGAAGCACCTGCCTTTTTGTCCTCTGGGTGTTTGAATCTTCCTGGCACATGTCAAAGCATCTATAGCAGGAATGTAATTTACTGAGTAGCTAACAGAATCCTAGCTGACACGTTTTAAGTCAGAAACCAGCTGCAGCTTGACTCCAACAGGAGACAAAAGTTCAAGTCTTTAAATACTGACAGCATCACACACTCTCAGCCCATTTATCACCGTCCACGTGTACTCCACTACTTTTAGTTTCAAATACACTTATTTAAGCATTCAGTAAAAAGCACTGACTCATACAGCTGTTGAAGGCGTAGATTATGATGGCCAAACACAGGAGAGGTCTCCACATGACGGACTTCACAGACAGAGTGTTGTTTAGTTGGTCTGGAGAGGCTGCTCAGGCTTTGCGCCTCTCTTCCATGGAAGCTACGAGACCTCCATCCATGGCCCAGCTCGTCGCTGCTGGAATGGGCCCCTGAGCCATTAGAACCCCGACCTGAGTCCCTGGAGGAAGCCTCTGATGGGATGTCCTCACACAGCATGACCACACGAGTGTCCACATCGTTGACAGATCCTGACACGCCACGAATAAAGCCCAAGCTTCCTTTTCTCTTTTTAGACTTTCTTTTAATGCTAAGCATTTTATTTTCAACAGGATAATCCTCAGTAGGTAAAAAGATGGTGCTGGATCGGTTCTAGTTACAAGTGCGTGGATTCAGTCAAAGACACTCCCGACAGGCTCGATCGCTACTCGTAAATCCATCCTGGGGTCCTCTCAGGAGACTGTCATCTTCTTAGTCTCCTCTGGAACTTCCTGACAGATTGATGAGATGAGAATGTCTCACAGCAGCTTGTCCAGGACAGCGCTTTAAAATCCGGCTTGTTTAAATGGAGCTAAAACCAGTTTTCGATTCCAGGTCGGAGGCGTGCACAGAAACTGTATTCTGCTCCGGTTTGTCCAGATAATGCATCGTCACAAAGCAGTGCCACAGTTTTCACGAAGAACAGAACTTTATACAGTTACGCCCACATGCACACACACCACACCCCTGACCTTTATGAAAAGCAGCAAAAAGCCCAGCCTCAGGAGTCTCACATGAAAAAGAAAAGTTACTGGTAGAAGTGCCAGTTTAAGGAAACCTGCCCCTGCAGGTACATTCTTTTTAGTCTAATCGCTGGAAAGAAATGCAAACGTAATCGTGCTTTTCTCCTGTTTGCTCTAGATTTAGCATGAATGCAGCTGCTCAGAAACAAACCAGTGGTTACCTGCACTGTCGAATCTTCCTGGGAAATAAATGTAAATGCAAGTCCCAGGATGCAAACACACAAAGCACTTAAACACCACTAAGTCTGCTACAAAGACACACAACTACAGGAAACACACAACAAGGGCTTGGGATTAGGTTGTTCAATACTGGATGTTCAGCAGCTTCTTCAGCTTCATAAGCTGCTTATAAAGGAAGCAGAATAAGTGAAAGCCACCTTTTAATATATTTAAACAGAAAATGGTTTAAAGAAAAGTTTAAATACAGGTTTTAAATGAAAGCTGCAGGAGCAGGTGGTGTGTGGGATGCATCAAATCATGAATGAACAATTCAGCTTTTCTGTTTAGATTTAAGCAGCATTATAATGCACAGCAGAAGGTGGTTTGATTAGGCTATATGATGCTGCTAGACGGTTTTCCTTTAAATAGACCAGTCATGATAAAAAAAATGGTCAGATTGTGGGTTTCATGTGTAAATTTACAGAGGCAGGTTTTCATTAAAGAGTCCCTTTAAAATGATAATGTGAATGCTTTCCAAACTCCCAGTTTTACATTATATGTACAAATGTTCAGGACCCTGCAAAAATGTAACAAAGAAGCACTGTTACCCTGTCAGTGCCAGAGAGCCATGGGGCACATATGTTAACTCTAAAAGGAAAACGGGATCATGCCGGTGCCACGACCTGCAGCGAGCGTGCCTGTCTGAGCTTGTATCGCATTTTATTTGATAAACTTGGCATCAACAGCGAATCGTGTTCCAGACTCACTAGTGTTTGTGTATGACAGCGTTGAAGAGTTTGCCATCCCTCCAGCTTGAGGTGAAGTTATCACAGCGGATGCCCTGGTAGCCATCTGTCATCCTCTGGGACCAGAGCAGCAGCTTCTCCTTGGCTGTCATGTCCTCGGACTGGCCATTGACCTGAATGTCTGAGATCTGAGACACACGAAGAACGTTAACTCGATCCGATCATCAGTAGATACTTTATGCCGAAGGATTGTGGAAAAAAATAAAGCCATTAGTAGAAACCAAAAGATCCAATTAAATGGAATCACTCAACACCCTCAGAGTTCAAATTTAAAGCAGTGTGATGATTTCCTCTGATTGTTTATGCCCTTAATCACCTCTCATTTGTATTTGCTTTTATATAATTATAAGGATTTAAGTATTTAATCACAGGACAGATCATGATATAAGCTCAGTCTGGTATGTAAACAAATATGTGGTGGTTCTATATGGGATCATATAACTGCTCATCCTTTATGTTTTTCTTACAAGCTTTAATAACTTGAAGATAATTAGCCTGTGGGATTAAACGCAGCATTAAGTGATTACAGGGGAATTTAATCCCTCTAAGCTTTGGTAATGAGCTGTATACCTTTTATTCCCCCTTGTATGCAAGCATAAAGACACTGTATCTAGAAGGCACACTGTTCAATAATCTCATGAGCTTTGGCTTTTAGGAATTTAAACCCAAACAGGTCATTATACGAAATGAGACCAAGGCTTCTAGGCTGATGTCCAGGGAGTTGTGCCTGGCAACTCTTGGCAATGAGCTTTGGGTGTGACTGGGAAAAAGTTGGATACTCCACAAGACACTCCTTCCCTTCTGGAAAAATAAAAAGGAGTGACTCACACTAGCACGCCCAGAATGGTGAGTTGTTTCCTTTTATATGTCGATGACTTAAACGTTAGTGTGTTATTTCTAAGATGATGTGACTATGATGAGCGTGGCTTGATTAGGAAATGTCTTGCGAGAGGAGACTCGAAGAGCCCAGTCCATTTGTTCCAAGGAGATGATGGGGAAACAGCAGCCGTGATCCCAGACAGAGGATAAGAGTAATAATATAATGAAACATGACACTGACAGAGGAGGAGACCTGGAAGTGGAGGATGATGGTCCATATTAACCCCAGGGTCAACTTGGGGTTCCCATCGGCGATGTCATCATTTCTTATGTTAACCAGCTTGACCTGAGGAAGAAATCAGCCACATTATTCTGAACAGGAGTGGCTTGTTTTGTTTTACATGGTTTTGGCTTCATACCTGCCGGTGTTTGAGGAAGTCGAGTGCGATCTGTACATTCTGCAGTTTGTGGAACCGCATTCGGCCTTTCTCTCTGGGCTGAGGAGGAGAAAGTAGAGTTTGGTTACAGTATGAAGTCTTGGTGCTGGAAACTGGCACAGAAAGTCCCACTGGTAGAGAGTCGATGGTATTAGAAAAGAAAATGACAAAAAATAAATAAATCAGTGGCATGTTCAGATCTTTTAAAATGGGGTGACCCAGGTGAGGCACAGCTTTGTGCATGGGTGGCACCAATGGTTATGCTTTTTTTGCTTTACCCTCAAGCCTTTTGTTGACAATGAAAAGCCTATTTAAAAGTAAATTAGTGGGGTGGCCAATCAGATTCCAAGGGTAGCATGTGCTACCCCAGGCCACTCCCTGGACATGCCCCTGAAATAAATGGAACATTTATTGCAAATAAGAAAACAACGGATAATTTTGTGAAAGTTTCTGCTCATATTGGGAACCTGCAACTAAAATCCCACATGTAGCCAGATAACGCTCAACTAAAACAATGTAAATGCTTTAAAAAAATAAAAGAAGATGTTTTATACAACTTCAACAGATGCATGCTTAAAGCCTGGAATAAAAAAGCCAAAAAAAAAAGGATGAATCATCAAGACAGATGTCTATGGAGGCCATGCAGAGCCAAATCACTGCTAGGGTGCAAGTGAATAACTTGTCGGGGTAAAAAGTCCCAAAGCCACTCACCAGGCGGATGCTCCTGACCTCCCTCTCCCTCGGCTAACCCGAGCGAGCAAATCGAGACGAAAAGCAGGCAAAGATCAGGCAGCAGAGATCAGAGCACAAAGGTTAAAGTAAAGGAGAAGAGAAACAAGAGAAAGAGGAGTGGAAGAGAACAGGATCAGACAGATTCACCCATCATGTTAATGTGTCAGAGTTATGAAGGCGTTCAGTAGATGAGCAGCGCTGGTGGTAGGAGTGATGAAGAACAGCAGCTTTAGCAGAAGCTTCAGAGCAATCGGACTACAAAACATAACATATAAACAGCTCGTTTCTGGATTAGTGCTGAAACGTCGAGCAATAAAACGATTTAAGCTAACAAAGATGACTGATGAGAAAACATACATTTAGCCAGGTTCGTGTAAGGTTAATAGTATGATAATGCAGTTGTTTGAGTCAGGATTCAGTCAGACTTTTAGTGGACTGCAAAAGAAAAAGGATGCAGAGCTCAGGCACTTTGTTCAGAGGCAGACGTTAAACTCACCAGTGTCTCTCCAGAGAGGACCTCCAGCAGTGAGATCAGGTTGTGTCCATCACGGAGGTCTTCATACAGGTCAGTCACATGGCGCTGGGCCTAACACGTGAAAAGAAGAAAAAAATCACCACAATCAAAAGCAGAAATTATAAAATTCAGAAATGAGTGAAGTAATTTTGGAGTTTTAGACTGCAGTGCTTGTTTGTGCTTTATTGTCTTCAGATAAAATAAAAATAAAGAAGAATTTCCTGGTATTTTCTAATTCGTCCAACACCATGCACTCCAGTTTTGGGACTTTGACATATTCTTTACTATCATTGTCACTTAGGCCAAGAATGATGGCAAAACAAGTGGCTAAAAACCTTTTGCAACAGAAGCGGTTCCAGTTGTGATGTAGCACAGCTGTAAACAGGAATGCACAGCTGGATGGAGCCAAAGAGCATCTGTCAACACTGATCGATAGCACTCCAAAAAAGGTGAATATTAAACTCACCATAAGAAAGATTTCAATTTGGAAATTTTTTGGACAGCGTTTAACAGACTAGCATGAATTTATGATCCACACATCAAAGGGTGTGGTGCAACCACAACCTGCAACCAATCACAGAAGCGAGTGAACAGCAAAAAAAGGTGAAGTGGTGCCAGGAAACTCAAGCCTGGATGAAGGGAGAACAGGAAAACGATGAGTGAGGGAGGGACGTGTCTTCATGCCAGCTAGAAATCACCACACAGAAATGCAGTCCTCTGTCAGCATGCTGCTACCTACCTTTACCTTCCAGTGCTTAGTGGAGATGATTGGTAGATGAATAAAACACAAAATCATCGTATTTGTTAGAATTGAACTAAGTACCCATTTTCTGACAAAACTAGACGTTATTTCTCATCCTGGTGATTAGCTCACAGGAAAATGGTGAGGCCTCTGATATTACATTTACAGCAGTGATGGCCTAGTTTTGTAAATCAACCCCTTCCCAATGCTTCTGTCTGAAAAACCAACATCAAATAATTTAGAGCTATATAAATTGTGGCCACCAGGGGTCACTCTTTACACTCCAAAAACACAACAGCACCAGAAGTTTGCACATTTGAAAGTCACTCCCCCCCCCCCCCCCCCCCCCCCCCCAGAAATGTTTTAAATAAAATCTGAATTATAAACCACATACATGTTGGTTCACTTTCACTGTTCTAGTACTGAGTTTTGTGATTTTAACACTATTTTCTGGTCCCTCACTTGGTAAATAAAACTAATCAAACAAAAACATATACCGCCACATCTTAATGACAGTTCTGCACACAGCAGAGAGTGCAAACCTTCTGTAAGACTGGTGCTGAAAGAAAAACTCTTTAAAAACACACGCTGAGGTAAAAATACAACACCTTCTGAACGGTTCCTTACAACACACAGGTGACATGACAGTAATGACGTGTTTTTACCATTAACATAATGTGATCCAGCATCTGCATGATTCTAACTTTAACTTGTCCAAGTCCTTTTAACCTAGATTTCATTTTTTCATTACATGAAGGACACAAATTGTACGGAGGAACCGATTAACAGGAACTGACATTCCACTCTGACGTAACTTAAAGCTACACTAAAGAGATCTTAACACTTGAAACTATTGCTTTAAAAACTGGTTACAGTGGTTCTTGAGAGAGAAACTTTGGCATTGGACAGCCCGCTGCTGACCAGACACTGCACTAATGTAAAGGCTAGCAGTTAGCTTTTCCAGTTCGCTGATTGGCAAAAAAAGCACAACAAGAAGAAGAGGATTGTTCTTGTTTTGTTGGTATCAGGGCAGAGCCTGGAAGTAAAAGGAAGGGAGTAATATCTTTTGAAGTGAAGCAAAGAGCTAAAGCCGGAGTGAGCATCGGCACGGCCTACACGAGTTTGAAGGAGCTGAAGGAAGGTACGAAATCACAGACTGATGGTGACCTGGCTTTGTTGCTACTGGACTGCAATAACATTTTTTGTCCATCAGTGTGGATCTTTTTTACTTTGTGGCTTATTTTGTATCAGGTGGCTTGTTAGCAATAGCCACCTGGGACAGTTGTAAATCTGCTTTCAACCTGTAGGCGGGAGAAGCCAGGAACATATTTAGTGTTGCTATAAAACAAATGGACGTGAAGGAGACAACAATCCGGGGTCTGTTAGTAGAGCCTCAGGACTCATACATACCTATAGTCTGCTGTCCCCCAAGTCAACCATTAAGTCATTAATGGGTTTAACAACAGTTTAACCTTTCAGAGCAGTCTCTCAGGTTCTGCTCTGGAGTTAACACTTAGCCTGCCAGACCTGTGTCATTGTCAGCAAATCTAAAATATCTAAAAGTTGAACAAATAAAACACTTGTATTCTAGAATTACATAACATTTTTCTGCATTGATTACAATAATGTGAATGCGTATGAAACGGTCCATGTTTCAGACGTGCATGAAAGCAGTTAAACCACCCAAACCCAGGAGTTTGAAGCACATGTGCTCCTGCTGGCTCTGACCCCTGCAGGCGTTAGGGCCAGAACAGATTTTGCCTTCACAGAGGAAGCTAAGTGGGTCCAGATGTTTGACTCACCATTCACAGTGAATACACAGAGACACAAAAAGGAGCCACTGCAGCAGTTTGTTGTGGTGGAATACGTTGGCATGCACGTTCATGGAAAGGGGAACACTCGCTGCGTCATTTATTTCCTCTCTTGTTCCATTTCAATGAAATGAATGGGCCTATGTCTGCGAACTGAATATAGAACGTATGAGGAGGCCTTAGTGTCACAAGGTTGTGAGTCTAGTACCGCTGAGGGGAGTTCCCTGGGAGGAACAATCCCCTGCTCTAAGGGAGGGGAGTCGTCAAACCCAGGCTGTGTTTTCAGCTTTGATAAGGAACTCGGGTCTCTCCTGACTCTCCTCCTGACTCGTTTACCGCCTTCACTGGGTGATCTATTGGTGGGCTTTCAGGCCAAAGTTTGTGAACAGAATGAAGTAGGTGAGAGTAGATGCTGATGGAGGGTTTACACAGCCTCTCAGCTGATGACAGGCAGGGCTTCTGGTAAGCCTCCCCATCCTGGTGAACTCTTGGTGACCAAATATGAAACAAACACTGGCCAGGTAATGTGGGGGGTGGGGTGTCGGTGATAAAATGTGCAGAGATACGGACAATGAACAGCTGAGTGACGGACTGAAATAACGATGATGACGGTCTGTCTCTTAAAAGCTTTCTGGTACCTCGGTGGAATAAAATGATAATCTAAATCTGCACTCAAGTCAAGTTTCATTGATACAGCTCGAATTTATTTAACTATTCTTACTACAAACTAAAAAAGGGAAAGAAAAAACATCTACTGACAAATAGTCCTTTACAAAACATTAGAGTGTGTTCTAATGTATTTACATACATCTCTCATTTCCTCTTTTCATTTAGGGTAAAATAGATTACCTCTAAATATGCAAATAGCAACATTTATTAAACACTAGAAAGAGCATCCTAGGTAAAAGGTTTCAGACTCAGTTCCTGTTGTTTATAAATGAAACTAAGGAAGATTTACCCTCAGATGGACCAGGGCATGTTTAGCCCTTCCACTGACGGACACAGAATGTTTAAGTCTCTAGATTTCAGTGAAAATGCACTGAAATGAAAAAAATAAATAAATTAAATTTAATTTAAAATATGTTGGCATGTTTAAATATAAGGTTCCACAGTATTACACTTTTTTATAAATCCTATTGCTTAAAACATGCACCTGCTTTTGTGTTGATATTTATAATAAAGGGTTTAAGCAAACAACTAGAGGTCACACTCCATTTATTTCTCCTTAAATAAAGTTGACGCTATCAAATGCATGCATGATGAAAAGGAACACCTTTTTACCTTTATCAAGTGCTTGTTAACCCATTTTGTGAAGGTCTTCTTCTGTACTCGATCCCGTTCATCTGCAACACACAGTAATCTCTGTTTATTATCAACCACATGTAGCAGAAAAAAATAAATAAAACAAAAGCACAGGGTGTATCAGGCATTGACATGAATATGTAGACAACCCATTGGATGCTGCAGAGCTTAGCAGCATTCCCACCATATTGGGTGGGTTCCCCACTCTCCAAACCCAACTGGAGTCAGTGCAGTGTGAGCAGCTATGCAGCATACGGTTGCAACAACTAGCGTACTATTTTGATTTATTTCGTATTATATCTATATTTTAATTATCATGCCATACTATATGTCTAATTTTGTCAAAAAGCATAATAAAATTTGTTTTCAGTTGGCTAAGCACCTTACTCGGTAGAAATGAATGTACTGGGGGCGAAGGGAGACCCATCCAAGATGGCGAGCGGCCACTGATTCCCCTAATTCGTATTCATTCTCTCTCTCCCTTTCCTTACCTTCTCAATCAAAATAATAATTTTCTCATTAAAAAAAATTTTTTTAATCTTTTTATATTTTACATTTTTTGTTTTTGTGAAGCACCTCGTTATCTTTATCTTGAGAGGCGCTACATAAAAGACTGTTTTCTTTCTTTTCTTTACTACGGCAGCTCCAATAGGCAGTTCCAGTCCACAGGGCGTCTACGTATATGTGTCTGTAGTATCACGTATGATCTCAAAAATACCGGAGTCCTGGTTTTTGTTGTCCAAACAGAATCCAAAAACACCTCTCGCACGCCTGCATCTGACTCAGGCTCCTTCAGCTGATCAACACTTAGCCTAAAAACAATTTACAGTCTGCAGAGTTATGTTTCACCAAAGTTCTGAGAAAAAACCCAAAGATGAAACGATTTCTTCACAACGTTGATTTGTGAGTTCAAGTTTGAAGGTGACCTTTGTGATTGGATCGTGGTATGTCTAACTATTACAGAGTGCAGGCTCTCAACATGCAGAAACACGATGTAGGTACTGAATACACCCACTAAGACAACAAACTGGCTCTTCATCAGTTAGTGTTATGATGTTCGGGGCGAAACCCACAAGGTGTGTTTTTGAAACAACTCTTATTAATGTGGCTGTCTGTTTCTGCCTCTAATGACATTACTTTAAGTGGTTTAAAGTTAGATTTAATATCACTACATGACTCCGTTGGACTTGATGTGCTGCAGGTCCATCTAACACAGGTCACACCATGTCAGAACTGACACAACACAAAGTCCCCCACCTTATCGGCTGTCAGGGTGTGATCTGACTATCTCACCACACCCAGCAATGAAAAACAACGAACACTGATTCAACACCAGCATAAAATTCACTCCCGTAGGCAACACTTGTTTTCTCTGACGGCAGCCAGAAAATCCAAGCGTGTTGTGGAACTGCGTTGCCATGGATAGCTCATTCACTCCCAACTGAAACTTTAACCATCCGTGGTTATATTTAACCTGATGCCCGAGCCTAACTACATGACCCTTGTGGTTCCACTCGCTGTGACGCGGAGAAAAAGTCACACTGAGAGGAAATCTGGTGACAGGAAGCACAAACACACTAACGAGTCAAGTCAAGAGTGCTGACGGTGGATTCTGCAAGTGTTGCATTTTGTCATACTGTTTGTACATCATCAACAACTGTAATGTGTGTAAACTTTGTTGTTTACGTGAAGGGTTGCCATTCATCAAATACGGGCTGAGCAGTCTTCAGTTATCATGTAACCAAACATAAACAAGCAGATACAGAGTTTCTGGCTCAGTACTAGAAAATCCTGCTCAAAATGACAATAAAGATCTCCCAGAACGAATTATCACCATGGATGGTAGAACCGCCACTGCTTCCACTGTGTAAAATGTCTCATGTAGGATAACTTCCATATATTGTCTTGTGAGCACTCTGGACGTGGATGAAAAAGCCCCGCCTCCTAACCAGCACAGAACCATGGTGTTCTGTAGAGTCAAATACAAAATACTAGCCTCAAATTCTAGACGAACTGTAGCAATGGCAACAAGGTTTTGCTCTGTGGGTCGATCTAGCTACGCTCCGTCAACAGGTCTAACGTTGGACTGAACTATTTTAGGTGGGGCCGATCACTGTGAAGAAGTGGGGCGGGCTTAGCATCAGAGCTGTGTCAGAGGGAAACTACAAAGATGGCATCGGCACAGGAACGGTGCTGAAACAGCTTTGGGATCATCTTTGGACTTCAGGTTTTCTTAGACACGCGAGCAGATAGAGGGGCTTAAGTCCTTTATTTTTAAAACGATGTATTTGCTTCTTCTTCTTCTTTGATGGTGTATGGTGGACTTCCCCGTAGACTGATTACTGTGGTGATGAATACGTCATGTTGTTCGTTGCTCTGATTGGTCCTAGTGCTGTCCCTTCAGTGCAGAGGGAAAATGGGTATCTGAATAGGTATCAACACAACAGGGGGACTGGATAAACGTATGAGGGACGTTTCTCTTTTTGGACAAGGAGACATCCCAAATGTTTTCATGAAGGGGCGGGACTTATAACAAACTGCAGCAAACCACTAGGTGGCGTTCCATTTTGGTTTTCATAATAATGCACTAATTAACATTAATAAAGGGAACTTTATTGTAAAGTGTTACCAATAATAATAATAAACTACTCATTTTATCCAGTGATGAACGTTTTAACTTGAGGTTTCATTATCATGTATTAACACGCCCCACGTTTCCTCATGCCAGAGTGATTCTTTGTGATTCGGTGGCACCTTTAATAATAAAGAACCTGGAAACCTGCCATAATTTTGCTTCATGATGCTTACTCTTTAGACGTTCATAACTGTAAAGTTATTAAAGAAGATAATAAGGAAAGTAGGAGTTGTTGTTTTGAAAATGTGGTTTTATCTGGGAATTGAAAACAAAAGTTTGTTTCAATCATTCTAAAGGGGTTACACTCAGGCTGCATGATCTAAATCTAACAATTTGTTTGTTTATAGTCAAATTCCTGGTTCCTGAGTGAAAGTTCCCGGATTTGCATCACTGCAATACTTCCTAATACAGACCATTTGTGATGCATATTTGTCTTAATAATGACCAGCACTCATTAGTCCTTTTCAAGACTATTCTGGGTGATGACAAAACTAAAGACTTCTTTTTGAAGACTTGCATCTTGATATGTTTCACAGGAAAAAAAGAGGAACACTGAATGAAATGATATCATCCATCTGGCAACAGCTTCAGACAAACAGACCATAGCTACAGTGACACACTCACCCAAACACACATGAACAACAAGAACAGCTACTGAGTTCCAAAAACAGGACACTGATGCATTAAGGGGGGAGGATCCTCCCTGACCCACAGAACTGACCAGTCAGTGTTACTGTGCTTTTATCATTTGTTAAAAGTAAAATAAAAAAAACATTACATTGCATTTGATGGTTGTCAGAGACAATAAAAGCCCCACTAAAAATTTCCTCATGACCAACAGCCATCCATCAGGAACCTCCTACATCTATTTAAGACACTGAAACTTGGCACACTTATTTCAAAGACACCATTATTCCCTTTGGCTTCTCACCCACTAACAAACAGATTAGATCAAAGTGTACAGGCTTCCCACATCAACTGGAGCCATTCTGGTATACCTTTCCGGCCATCCGTCGCCTTCAGCATCCCTTGGTAATAAGACTCGTCTGAGGGCATCCTCTCCCTGCCCAGGCTGTCGGTGGAGAAGTTCCTGTACCTCTGCTGCTGAGAGGTCATTGTCACTATTGGTCAGCTCACAAAACAGTAATCCAGATGATGATTTTATCGTTTTTCCCTTGATGGAACCTTCTGTGTCCTTTGCTTCTATCTGTGGCCCTCAGTCCTTCCCAGAGGGTGCAGTCATGTGGCCGAAGTCCCACCACCCGTGTCTCAAACCTATGATTTCTATCCTCTCTTAACCTCCTCTCTGTCCCTCACATGGGTTGACTCTGCCCTTCTGTTTCCCTGCCTGTTTTTTTTCCTCTCCCTTCTTTTTCTTTCGACCAATCACTCTGTTTCTTTCACAGCAAACAGTGCCTGTGGGCTATGCAGTCTGGGCCGGTCCCTGTGAGAGATGTGCAATGTGTGTTTAGTGACGCCGGAGTTAGGAGGACATGGGTAGGACTCTAGCCACACCCCTTCCTCCTGCAGGGAGCAGAGAGGAAGAAGTGACGGGTGGGGTCGAGGTGTGGTAACCTGAGTGTTGTATTACTAAACAGCTTGTGCAACGGAGCACACAGCGAATCACAGGCACAATAAAAGGTCATAAATGTTTATCCTGGTGATCTTTTATGCTTTTATAATATTAAATGACATTTAAATGAACAAATTAAAATATTTACAGAGGAATAAAATATATAAGACTCACACAGTTACACTGATTAATCAGTCTCAGTCACGACATTCCTGAAGTATTTCTAATTTAGAGTCATTCTCTAGAAAAAAAATGGACAGACTAATGCAAATATCCTGAACAAATCACTGCTTAAAGGCATTTCTTAGTATGTTATTTTCTGTTTGGCAACCTCTGACTCCACAATAAGTATATTAGGCTAAATGCAAAGTTTTTTAAGCTTTTAAAATGCAGCAACATGTAAATCTGGTACATTGATCAAACACATGTCTTAAAGTTATAGTTATACTAATGAGACATACGGGTACCAATGGATGCCAACATACGTGGGGAAGGTGTGTTTTTTTAAAGAATATTTTTATCCACTTCTTTGGTAGCAAATACAAAATGTTTATAACTTGGTCAGTTTTCCAAAACTAGAGGTGTTGGGTGATATGTTTTCCTTGTGGTTCTTTAAGAGGTTTCAGGGTGGAACAAGTTTCAGGGTATAGTCCTTCAGATGCTGCGGACAGACAGCAGAGCCCTAGTTAGCTCCTACATTTACTGTTACCCCTCCAGTAATGTTCTCCTGTCTGTGCTGAGAGGCTGAGCAAGTCTTTGTGTGCTGCAGCCTGCCCTGCAGCCTCTGGGTGCTGATATATCCCATTTCTCCACCTTAAACTGGCATCAGAAAA